TCAGCATGTCCTCACTATCCGGAGAAGTTTCCTCCAGAGATAACAGACCTGCCGCAAGGTTCTCTAACCTGGAAAACCCTAATCTGCACAGTTTACAGATTACAAACATGTTGCTGGATATAACTTCAGAGAGTGGTCCGTCTCAGCAAGGTTGTTCATTACTTCTCGTGATCTCACAGGTAGACCTGTTCATGGGCCGGGCCGGGCCGGGCTTTTAGCCTTCACTAACGGAAAAATGATAGGCCCGAGCCCGAGCCCGGCCCGACCAATAAATTCGATCCGGGCTCGGGATTTGCCAAAACAGCACGGCCCGCAATAAATTTGAGCCGGGCCACACGACATGCTCAGGTATTGGGTATGAAGACTCCTTTTCTCTGTTTTGTGTCCCACTCTTCCAAAATTTCCTCTTCCCCCACGGGTTTTTGGTTGTACATGCTTCATACATGTGAAGGATCCAAAGAAAACCAAGTTGGATCCCAAGGCTACAAAGGGAATATTTTTGGGGTACTCTCCTACACAAAAGGGGTACAAGTGTTATGATCCTATCTCCAAGAAGAAGTATGTCACCAGAGATGTAGTCTTTTTTGAGTCTCAACCCTATTTCTAGTCTTCTCAGAATCCTCTTCAAGGGGAGACTAGTGGGTTGGAAGAGGATTCTCATTCTCCCTTCTTTTTTGTTCCCTTTTCATCACCTTCCACTACTCCTAGCTGTGACATTCCGGGTCAACCTAGTGAGGCTCCCACTGTGCCAGTTACTTCTCCTGATACAGCAGATGCTCCTGAAGGTTACAGTAGGCAAGAGAAAGAGATACTTACATACAACAGAAGGAAGAAGGGCCCTCAACCTCATGATTGTAACCAGTTGAACTCAGATCAATCTGTCTCTGCAATCCAAGGTAATTCTGACTCACACACTTCAGATTTGGATCTTCCTATTGCTCTCCGTAAGCCTGTTCGTTCTTGTACTACCCGACATCCCATAGCTGATTTTGTTTCTTACTCACACTTATCTCCTGCCTATCACTCCTTTGTGTCTGCTCTTTCCTCTGTATGTGTCCCTTTCAGGTACTTAGAGGCGGCATCTGATCCAARGTGGAAAGAAGCCATGAATGAAGAGATGAAAGCCCTAATGAAAGCAAGAAC